GTATCTTGAATTTCAAATTTTTTACACCTTTTCTACGATATTTTTTTACCTGAAAATATTTTGTTAAGACATATTGAACAAAAGAAGTGTAGAATTCCAAGACCTTTCAAATGATATCTCGACAAAAGGGCTAGCCCCTAAATTTAGGGGCCTGAAGGGGCCAAAAGTTTTTTCTTTATATCTCAAAATCTATAAAGAATTTTTAATACATCGAAGAAGCAAAGTTGTTCAAAATGTCAAGCATAATGTATTGGCGTCGTCAAAATTCGTCCGGCGATGTCTCTTCCGGCCAAACCGGAAGTAGTCAGAAAACGCGAATTTTAGCCGTTCTTGACACGTTTTTAGGTAACAGATGTCTCTGGGACAATAAAAAATTATTTTCCGTCCGTCGTCGTCACTTCCGGTCACACCGGAAGTAGCAAAAAATGGCTTATTTTTGCAATGATTAACATAGCTTTAGAGGATTCAAGCTATTTCTGGGCGTTATTTCTCACTTTTGTTAAAAATAAAATCTACTTCCGGTCAAACAGGACGGAAGACCTACTCGTTGCTTTGCAACGAGCTCGGCTCTAGTTATTCTTTTTTTTCTTACCGATTTTGTGCACGCGATTTCTCAAAGACGGCGTGATGGATTTCCATGAAACTTTCAGGACTTATGTTACATTACTTGAACCTTATGCATTTTTTTCCGATTTGATGACGTCACTTCCGGTTTGGAGATATTGTCGATTTTATGATTTTTGAAGGGTCAGGTTGTCCGCAGACTTTCTCAATAATGGCTCAAGATAGAAACATGAAACTTTCAGGTATGATAGACCAAAGTCTGTAGATATGTATAACGTATTTCATTTTTATCGGAAGTGCCGCACGTCGGCGCTCGCTATGGCCCGAAAATAGACGTATCACGAATTTCAAAATTTTTAACACTTTTTCGAAGATATCTTTTTACCTAGAAATATTTTGTTAAGACATATAGAACAAAAGAAGTGTAGATTTCCCCTAAAATTAGGGGCCTAGAGGGGCCAAAACATTTTTCTTTATATCTCAAAATCTATATAGAATTTGTTATACGTCAAAAAAGCAAAGTTGTTCAAAAGGTCAAGCTTAATCTATTGGCGTCGTCTAAAATCGTCCGGCGACGTCACTTCCGGCCACCCGGAAGTAGTCGGAAACTGCGTATTTTTGCCGTTCTTGACAAGTTTTTTGGTAACAAATGTCTCTTGGAGCATAAAAATTAATTTTCCGTCTGTCGTCGTCACTTCCAGTCAGACCGGAAGTAGCAAAAAATGGCTTATTTTTGCATTTATTAACATAGCTTTCGATGATTCAAGCTATTTTTGGGCGTTATTAGGCATTTTTGTTAAAAATAAACTCTACTTCCGGTCAAACAGTACGGAAGACCTACTCGTTGCTTTGCAACGAGCTTTGCTCTAGTTATTATTGTTTTTTTTTCTTACCGATTTTGTGCACGCGATTTCTCGAAAAACGGCTCGATGGATTTCCATGAAACTTTCAGGACTTATGTAACATCACTTGAACCTTATGCGTTTTTTTCTGTTTTGATGACGTCACTTCCGGTCCGGAGTTATCAGCACTTTAATTGATTTTTTAAGGGTCAGTTTGTCCGCACGATTTCTCCTAAACGACTTTAGATAGACACGTGATACTTTCAGGTCTAGTAGACCTATGTCTGTAGATTTGTGGAATGTATTTTATTTTTTACCGGAAGTGCTGCAGGTCGGCGCTCGGTATGGCCCGAAAATAGGCCTATCGCAAATTTCAAAATGTTTAGCACTTTTTCTACGATATCTTTTTACCTGGAAATATTTTGTTAAAATATATGGAACAAAAGAAGTGTAGAATTTTAAGTTCTTCTAAATGATGTCTCGGAAAAAGGGCTGGCCCCTAAAATTAGGGGTCTACAGGGGCCGAAAGTTTTTCCTTTATATCTCAAAAAGTATTGAGAATTTGTAACACGTCCATGAAGCAAAGTTGTTCAAAATGTCAAGCTTAATCTAATGGAGTCGTCAAAATACGTCCGTCGACGTCATTTCCGGCCAAACCGGAAGTAGTCGGAAAACGCGTATTTTTAAAGTTCTTGAGAAGTTTTTGGGTAACATCTGTCACTGGGAGCATAAAAATTAATTTTATGTCCGTCGTCAACACTTCCGGTCACACGGGAAGTAGCATAAACTTCCGGTCAAACAGGACGGAAGACCTACTCGTTGCTTTGCAACGAGCTTTGCTCTAGTTAAGGTCTTCCGTCTCCAACGGAAGACCTTATTGTTTTCGTTCGGTTTCTTTTTCCCTATTATTATTATTATTATTATTATTTTTTTTCTTACCGATTTTGTGCACGCGATTTCTCAGAAACGGCTGGACCGATTCTCACCAAATTTTCAGATCTGATAGATATTTATCTGAACCTTGTCGGAAATTTTTCGTAAGTACGTCGTCACTTCCGGTCGTGAGATATGGACGATTTACTGATTTTTAGAGGGTCAGCTTGTCCTGAGATCTCCTCCTAAACGACTTAAGATATCGACTTGAGATTTTCAGTGAAGGTAGAGGAAGGATAGTAGATGTGACATTTTGCATATAGAGCTTTCCAGGTAAGAAGGCATCGACGCTCGCCTGGGCTCGAAAAATAGCCTCATACTCATCTCGCAAAAATTGACACGTTTTCTTTTATATCTTTTTCCCTGTTAATATTTTGTTAAGACATATATAATAAAAAATGTCCAATATACTAAGACCTTTCATTTGATATCAAGTAAACGGGGTTAGTCCTTCAAATTAGGGGCATAGAGGGGCCAAAAGTCTCTCGTCTTTAACTTTTTTGTTTTTCAATATTTTCAAATTATATTAGTATAGTTGATAGAAACATTTCTTATTAGGCTGAATATATAATTCGTTTGTAAATTTATAAATGCAAACTCGAGATATTAACATTCAAAAATCTGAAGCGGGAACTAAATGGCGGCGGTCTCTGTCAATTCCGACATTTCGCAATAGCGGTTAACAGGGGCAGCTGAGCGTTTGCTTGAACGAAAGTAACATAAGGAGCAATGAAATGTGTAGGGATACTTGGATTGTCACGTCGTAGGTTCGTTGCAATTCTGTGTCAAACTACATTCATAATCCAAGGTCTCCTTGCAAGTTTTCTTTAATTGGTTTTGGTTGTTTCTCAAAGTAGAAAAAAGAAAAAAATTAATGTGCAAATTAAGTACGCATTGATGATATTATCTAAATCAAAAGGATTTAATCAAAAGAGAAAAGGCATGATTCCATGATGTTTTATCAAAGATCATAGTCAAAGTCATATCTCATCTTATCGAAAATTCGGACGGAAGACCTACTCGTTGCTCGCAACGAGATCGCATCTAGTTATTATTATTTTTCTTCTTCCTGGGAAAATTTTGTCCACAAGTGATCTTGTAAACTATACATCCGACTTAGGTGAAACCTTTTTAGGGTCAGTAGGCATGTTATGTAGAGTTGCCAAACGAAGGTCATTTTGCCCGCACGTGCTTGCAAGAGCAGGCACGTGCAATACGTGAAATGACCAATATAATGTATATTGCCGTAAATTTTCTATTTTTTTATGAAATGTTTTGAAACTCATAATGTAAGGAAATATCAGTAGTATAGACAATATGACATGGTCAAAATAGCAAGATCTCACGCGCATGCACGTGCGCTTCGCTCTGATTGGCTGAAACTATAGTCTCAATATCTTTCTTGTTTTACGTCATAATCCTTTGAAATTTCGAAATTAGTCACACATTATGAAGGTCGACAGCATGATATATAAGAATTTTCATGAAAGTACGTACATGCACGTGTGCTGGCAAGAACGTGCACGTGCAACATGTGAAATTACCAATATAATGGATGAAGCCTTAACTTTTCTATTTCGTGATGGAATTTTTTGAAACTCACACTGCATGGATGTATTAGTAGTATCCACAAGATGACATGGTCAAAATAGCAAGATCTTACGCGCGTGCACGTGCGCTTCGCTCTGATTGGCTGAAACTAAAGTCTCAATATCTTTTTTGTTTTACGTCATAATCCTTTGAAATTTTGAACATAGTCATTCATTATGAAGATCTACAGAATGAAATAAAAGAATTTTCATGAAAGCACGTAAATTTACGTGTGCTGCAATCTGATTGGCTGAAACTTTAAAAGCCTATAACTTTCTTGTTTCTCAACATAACAAGATGAAATTTAGAATATGAATAGGTATAATGGATTCCTACATGATACTACTATCAAAATTGAATGCAAGGACGTGCTTGCATGTATTTGCGAAAGCGCAATGCGAAAAATGAACAATGTATTTGAAAAACGGTAACATTTATATTTTCATGACTTTTCATTGATTCTTGGAATATCAAGATATGTAAATAGTTTTTACAACATGCCATGATCACCTTGCATCTGCATGCACGTGCGTTTGTGTGAAATGCGTTAAATGACAAAAAGTTGATATCATTGTAGCTTTAAAATTCTTTTATGAAATCCTGCGTTAACTGATCATATTAAAAAAAAGTTTTAAAGGAAATTGGCACAAAAAGGGAGTTGGGGAGCGTTTGGGGAACATCTGTAACGGTCCCCGTTACAATTAGAACTATTTTTATTTTGACACACTGTTACATTTTGTGTACAGTTTGCACACGACAACTACACACGGGCCGAGGAGTCACTTAATTATGGACCCTTTGCCCCCAGCACCAAATATTTCGTGGGAACTCACCTTCTATTCTTCATTCATTTGGCGTCGAATTCTCCAAGACACTAGACAGATAACTTTGAAGCAGAAAGGTACTGTTTTTTTTCAAATCTTAGAATATTTTGATGGGAATAATTTTATTTTAAAAAAATAATTTAATTCAATTTAAATGATCAACCAGACAGTGTGAACGTAAATGTATAGCTTTTGCGAGATGCGACATTATGAAAAAAATAATAGAAATATTTTACATTTATTTCAGAGGGTATCCACCTGTCCACTTATTAAAAAAAAAGAAGAATGCCTGCCACATGCAATTGCACAGAAAGTAAGTCGTATTATATTAGTTTTTTCAGTACACACCATACAAAGCAAAAATTTGGATGCATCGCCATGTATTGGTTTATTTTTTGGATATATTTTGGGACTAAATAAATGATACGTATATCTACTCCCTAGAAAATAATAATTAAAAAAAAAGTTAACTTTCCGTGCTTTTTGTCACCACCCCCTTTTTGTTTTATCACTTTACTTTGAATGAAAATGACTTAATTATTCCTTTTACTTAGGTCATTCACAATTTTTTCTCTGTTTAGCGTCCACCCATCATTCAAAAACCTACCTACAGTGTATACACCAAAACCCCACACGCAATCCGAAAAATATATTATTTAAGGTCATAAAAATGATGTATTAAATTGTAAAATAAGATCTATTATTTAGAAAAATCAAGAAATAAATGCTTTAAATATGAGCATGACATATTACAAAAAATAAGAGAAATCGGCAGAAATCAAAGATTTCAGCCAAAATGATTAGATTTAGACCTCCTGAATTTGCTTGTTTTATCTGATACGAGGTGTCAGAAACCTAAGTACACGCGGACGCTTTAAACATAAGATCTAGAAAAACTTGGAATGATCTTGCATAGATTTAGATGCATTGTCTCCTAGATTAATAATTATTAGAGTTATCGCTCTTTGATCCTGAGTGTTATTTTTTTTTCTAGGTGGAAAATGCCAATGTGTGGAATTTCAATCCTGTCCACCCAGCGTCTGTAAATGTGGACCCGGATGTAAATGTGGAGCCGGGTGCACGTGCACTGGGTGTCAGCTGAAATGCAGCTGTAGTGGTGAGTATAATTAATATATAATTATATAATCTGTTTATTTAAAAATATGAAGTACTATGTCAGCTAATTGGTTATACGAAATAAGTTTGCAGGATCTAATTTTAATTCGCTGGCAGTGGAGGGAATCCTGAAGTTACATTATGTCCAGTCCAAATAGGTTTGGAATGATTACTCTGAAAAAAAAAAAAAACACAGCGAAGCGCTTAAGTAATAGATACTACTTTATCAGTTTATTCTGCATGTTCGAATTCGGGCCACAAGACCATAAACTGAGAACAGACTTTTGAAGTCAGAACATCAGACGAATATAAATTTTGAAATAATTTTGATAATCAACCAAAATGTTTATAATATTCTCAAATTTTAATTATTATATATAAATATTCAATTTTTGAACTATGCAAAAAAAAAAAAAAAAAAATTCTCAAGATGTTTAGAATCAAAATTACGTCTTAAATCTATTATCAGTTTATGGTCTTAAGGCCCTAGTCTGCGATTAGAATGACCTAGCCAGGGTACGCAATGTAAATTAGAGACCCGGGATTCCATGGTCAATTTCATCTAACCAAATTTAGATTTTGTTCTTGATTAAAATCGTTTATTGCAATCTGATTAAAACCATATTCTTTGATCCGCTCTCATAGATCGTTATACACAAGGGATCCACGTGAGCGGATCAAAGGTCAGGATATGATTTTAATCAGATTGCGTTAATTGAAAATGCGATTATGTGAAAAGGATAATTCCCCAACAAAGAAAGAATCTATACTGACACCTGATTATCGCTTTATTTTGACAGTAGGTGTAAAAAAGATGAAAGGAAACCCTTAAGGTGTAACACCCCTCTGATAAGAGAGATAACTTTTCGAGGTTCCGAGCACTCAAATAAATTGCCCTGGCAATCTCAATAATGAGGACCATTTTATAGTCAACTCATTCAAATCTTAACTATTGTTCAAATATTGCTATTTTCTTTTATTAATTATTTATAATAGTTTACCTAAAATAGTTCCTTTAAACTAAGAAAATTGAGATATTTGCATCCCTCAAATTCTTGTAAGTGTTACAAAAATTTCAGATGTAGAATTTATTAAAAATTATTTATTTTTTCACAACAAATATGTTTAAGAACGATTCATGGAAAGATAACTCTTGTAGATAGATGTATTTTTATTTTAAAAGCACAGGAAAAATGTGATATGATTTAAAAGCAACGCTTCATTATGTTTTCTAATGCAAATTAGATACGTATGACAGTAAATTTTTATTTTATTTTCATATATACCTAATATTTTGAATTTTTGGTCAGATAGAAAATAATCAATGATCAATTTGATCTTTATATAAACAATTTATACTTGCCAAGAGAGTGTGAGAGGGAGAGAGAGAGAGAGTACGTGTTTTTTTTGGAATGGATTTTTTTTATACCTCTCCTCCCCTGAACCCAATTTTATACAATGTATAACATTCAATACTGCTCCGATTTTTGCTTTTACCTAGCCAGTTGCTCAGGTGAGCGATATGGCCTCTTGGCCTCTTGTTACCAAACGTTTTCATTCATAAGTGAACGATTGATAATACTATTTCAATGGATTTGTTACCTGCAATTTTTCGAGTTGATATCTAATATTCTAGCGAAATTTGGTTAAACCATATTTTACTAACTTCTGAAGGGAGAAACTTAAATAAGCCATTAAGGAGGCTGGGGGTCAACAAATTAACCACCAGATGTAACTTAAATTTTTAGATAAGATATCTTAAGCTTTCAACTATCATTTTACAAAAAAAAAAAAGAAAAAATAAAATAAATAAATTAAAAAAAAAAAATCGTACATTTTGATTTTAAAATTTGATCATTTTTGTATATCTTCTTCCAAACGAGACCAAAATAGTCTAAAAATGGCCACAACCACTCAGCCCTTTTAAAGGACCGGCATTATGAATAAGAGGACGTTTGTGTGTGCTCAAGTCTATGAGTGTGTAGGGGGAGACCACCTTGGACCTTTTTTTTCCAAAAAAAAAAAAAAAAAGAGAAAGAGAGATCTATCAAGGGGAAATAACTCTTACAATAATTAATACTGCTGCATGTTCACCCTAACGCGCTCTTGTGTGTGTGTGTCTTTTATACATAGAATTCATAAATGTTAAGTATATTAAAAAAAAATTTATAGAGTTTCTCTTTTTTGCAGGTAATTGTGCATGTGGAAAAGGCTGCACCGGACCTGAATCTTGCAAATGCGCAAATGTCTGTAGCTGCAAAAAGTGACGAAATATAATGTACATGTAGTCACGTGGTCTCAGGAATATCTTTTGTGTCACAGCCAAAGAACAAAATAAGTTTTACATTTTAAATTGGATAACTAAATAAATTGATTTTCAAGTTTCATTCGTCATTTTTATTGGTACCAGTATATACAATTATTTGTAGTACTAGTATATGCGATTTTTCTTAAAATTTGCGACGTACAACTTATTAAATCTCAGATTCGAAATGAGATGTGCAATTGAAAATGTGTCGGAACTATTGAAACTATTCAAAATGCGTCATAATTATTCACCCATGTTTGAAAACTTATCAAAATCGTTGTAGATTAAATACAGCGTAAAATTCGTTCTGGAGAAAGGGGCCCCAGATAGCAGTTATATATATATGTAACGTCACATTATCCTTTACAACATGATATGAGCATCTTTTCAGTGAGATAAAAACTGGTTTTAATCGGTATTTGTACCCTACAATGCAATCAAAAATGAAAAAAAAATCATTTCTTAATAATATCTGAATGTAATCGGGTAAGTACTGTGATCTAACGAAAAATGCCCCCCTTTCAATTCCCGTATAAGTATGTATACATTTTTAGCCATAGAAACCCCAAAATGTCTCCCCGATCAAAATTCAAAATAGCAAAAAATGGTACTATGCTAATAAAAATTGTGTGAAAAACTAAAAAAATATGCAGTGTTTTGGAGGATTCATGGATAACAGATGAATATCTCCAATTTTTTTTTTTAGAAAGAATGGGAGTGCCCAGGTTTAGCCTTGAGGAACCTCAAATATATAAAAATGACATGAGGCCCAAAATGACTTTATGTAATAAAGATTCTGTGAAAGTATATAAATTTTAATCTGTGGTGCAGGCTGGCAGTGTCGATGTTGTGTTATGGCAAAACCCAAATATCTGATCAACGTGTAAAATAATAGGTCCACAAAGACACTATTTAATATTGATTCTGTAGAAATCTCATAACATTTTATTCAGGAATATAGGATGGGTTGTGGAAACTCAATTTTAATTTGAAATATGCAACTTTCACTTTCAAGTAGGGTGTATAATGAGCAAAAAAAAAATGACTATAAAGATTACATGTATTACACAGCAGGTTTAAGATAGAGGAATATATTGAAGTACTACAAAAGATTCATGGATCGCAATGTTCACCTTAGTCACATTGGCCATTCTGTTCTCGGTATTAAGATTTTAAAAAGAAGTCTTTCCCTCTCCCTTACCCACATTTAAGAAAAAAAATGACGCCACTTTACCCTTAAAAACCATGATATGAACGATTAAAAACCATGATATGAACGAAATTAAATTCTCATATATTAAGATGAATAATTATTACAGCTAGGTCTTACTTTTTGTTTTTTAGACGACAATGTCGGCAACGTTAACATTTGATTGTGATGTTAAAATAATTACAATTTGTTATATGTTATTCAATATATAAACATTTGATCCCCAATGTGGCCCAACCCTACTCTAGGGACCACGAGTAGGCGGATGTGCAATGTAAACTTCAATATAATATCTCTATTTTTGTCTAAATTACCTGTACATTGTATCTTGTAAAGTGGGTTTTGTGAAAAGGTTCACTTTTTAATTTATTTGTGTGTTTTAAACAAAAAGATAAAATTACAAACTTTCCTTTTTACACTTTTTATTAGCATATTTCCCCTTCTTTCGTTGTGATGGGATAGTAAAACATCAAAAGATATACATTTGTACATAACGTAAGCCACAATTCACAGAGCTAAAATTAATGACCAGGAAGTTTAAGTGACATGAAAATGCAGGTCACGTGACATGGGGTCTAGTAAAGAGCTCAGCAGCCATAACGGTTAAACATCAGGTATTGTTTAATTTTGTTGAAGATTTTGATATTGACTGAATAACTTTCTTTTAAACATTTCAGTGAGCTGAAAGAGAAATAATCTACACTCTAGATAAATGAAAATTTAAAGTTCGATATGAGCCCTGTACTGTAAAAGTCGTAGCAAAAAAGATACACTGTACTTCAGTATTCTACAATCTCTTTTAGAAGTAAGTTAATCAGTCATAATTAACGATGAAATTAATATCAATTATCAAAAATAGCCATAATAAATATAGAGAAGATTATAACAATGCATTTACAAAATTTTATTCTTCGTATTTTACGCACTTTCAATTCAATTCTTTATTCGCTCAAAACCAGATCACTGGTACAAGAGGTACATATATACATATATACAAGCAACACCTATTATGTAGATAATAGCATTTATGGCGATACTTTTCCTGTAAAAATAGTTGCCCCCTTTTGGAACCCCCGTTGATTTAACCCTGTGTTGAGCCCCAGGAAATATGAGCCAAGCAGATGGCGCATTATCCAATGAGAATTAAATAAAGAGTCACGTGGTTTTGTTATTATTGCCAAACATTGATTCGAGGACACACGTTTTTAGCCCTTTGGATTTTAATTGATTTTGCATTTGTATCCATTATTGGACTGTGAAAATTGTAAGTTTTGTTTCTGTTACGAACATTATCGATTGTGTGTGATATTACGGACTACTCATTGGTTGCATCATTGGAAAAAGAGATTGTTTATGTGCGGGATTCCAGGGATAGTCGGTCATGGCGGCGGATCAAACAATTTCTGTTGCAATAGTTGGCCATTCTTATGTACGGCGTTTGAAAGTTTATGCAGCTCAACAGAACATTCCTTATCTACGATTGGACACTGATAAGTTCTTTGTGTCAATTCGAGGAAAAGGGGGTCTGTGTTTACGGCATCTTCGAAGCGATGCTAACATTGTGCATTTTGTAAATGTCCCGGATATTTGTTTTCTACAGATTGGTGAAAATGACATTGTTCCTGAAAGTAAGGCCTCAAAAATTGCACAAGACATTTTTTCGCTTGCAAATTATTTACATGAAGGGGTTGGTGTTCAAAAAGTAATTATCGGCCAATTGCTGCGTCGCCTTCCCTATGCAGCATGTATCAATTTCAATGACACGGTGTACGAGGTAAATCGGGCGCTACGGGAGATGACAACTGGGTTGAAAGGAATTGTCTACTGGCCTCACCGGGGGTTCTGGAATAGCCTCTCATATCTGGGACCAGATGGAGTACATCTGCAGTGCACACCGTCCAATGATCAGCCAATGAGGAAGTTTCTGCGCAGTATACGCAATGCCATCATCATCACTTCAAAGGAAATTAGGCCAGTATAGCTAATGATTCAGTACTGAATTAAGTACCATTGTCTGGATATTTGATCATACATTTCTAAGTCATTAATGATGGTTGACTGTAGATAGTCTCATTCAATATTTATTCTAATTCAAAAAAAAAAAAAAAAAAAAAAAAAAAAAAAAAAAAAAAAAAAAAGGGGTACAAAAGTTTAATGTTTGGCAATCTTTCTTATGTTTGATATAAGCATTCAGTGATGATATTTAGTATACTGGGCTTCATTTAGTAAAACAAAGTGTTCCTCGTAGACATCCTGTTTGTTATCTCATTATTTTCCTATCGTTTGATGCAATTTCATGGTTAAATTCAATGTACATGTCATAAACGTAGAGAACAGTCGTTTCAGTTGCTGTGATAGACATAACTATATCTGTTTTATTATAGATTAGAATACCAGTATGACATGTTGGTTGCTACTTGTAAAATTTCAGTTCAGATGTTTAGCAGATTATTCTTGGGAAACATTTAATATAATGTTTCAACATTTTACTTGGGAATCTTATATATTGATAGAACATTGAGTATAATGTTTCAAAAGTTTGCTTCAAAATACATTCTGTTTATTGTTTTACCAGGTTTTCTTTGGGAATATTAAGTATATAATGTTTCGACAGTTTTCCCTTTAGAAGCATTCAGTATAATGCTTCAAAAATTTTTTTATTTGAAAACATTCTGGATAATGTTTCAGGAGCATTCAGTATAATGTTCCAACATTTTTACTTTTGAAACATTCAGTATAATGTTTCAGGAACATTCAGTATAATGTTCCATCAGTTTTTCTTTTGAAACATTCAGTATAATGTTTCAGGAACATTCAGTATAATGTTCCAACAGTTTTCTTTTGAAACATTCAGTATAATGTTTCAGGAACATTCAGTATAATGTTCCAACAGTTTTTCTTTTGAAACATTCAGTATAATGTTACAGGAACATTCAGTATAATGTTCCAACAGTTTTCTTTTGAAACATTCAGTATAATGTTTCAGGAACATTCAGTATAATGTTCCAACAGTTTTTCTTTTGAAACATTCAGTATAATGTTTCAGGAACATTCAGTATAATGTTCCAACAGTTTTCTTTTGAAACATTCAGTATAATGTTTCAGGAACATTCAGTATAATGTTCCAACAGTTTTCTTTTGAAACATTCAGTATAATGTTTCAGCAGTTTGTTTCATTCAATAATTTGTCAGTATTATATTCAAAATACTAATTTAACTTAAAAGTTTCAGATTATTATGTTATTTAAAGTTATTATTTGTGGTACAATTCCAGTCCTTCAGTGTGGCTAAATGATATGTATATGGGCATATATATATGGTATTTCAGTTATAGGTTAGTTATAATCTATCATTTCAATAAACATGGTGATAGTTTTACTTGAAAGTCTTTCTTCAAGGGTCAGTTGCAGTTTCTGATATATAGCTGGTTGAATAACATAGATTCATATTACTTTGGTTCACTAAACCTACATTTTATTTAAGGACTGCACAACCTAAATGACTCTTCAGTAAATGTATTTATCTATACAAGTAAACTTCAGGGCATATTTACTCAAAAAATCAATCACAAATATATTATCAGTAGTAAAATAACCCTTTCTAAATCCTGTTTGGGATTCATTGATTAGCTCTACTTCATCAGCAAAAGTATTTAAACGGTCACAAAGTATACTAGTATACTCTTTCCTACAAGTGATCACAATCCTAAACTGAGAATTTTTGGTCCTGCTGTACTTCATTTGAGGAGATTGATTGATTGCTGTGTAACTCCGTGTCGGCAATATTTCAGCCATATTTCGGCGACTCTTAGCAGATAATTAAATATATTCTCTCTACCCCTTCCCAATATTTTTATCTGTGTTTAATGAACTTTTGAGCTTTAATACTATTCGTTATCTCCAAATATATCACACTAGAATATCAATATACATGTAATGTGTATGATACTATTTTTCATAATTTTCACACCTGTTAAATGTTATATATAGACTACTTTGGGAGTTAGGTAAGCATGCTTAGGACATGCCCTAATTGACTAGAAGGTCTAGCTTTGATTGATTTTATGATGGAATATTTATACAAAGTTGTTTGCGAATATGATACATTTACTTTGTACTTTTCATAGACATCATTAAATACACATTCAATTCTAGAACAACATTGTTATTATTTTCCTAGTTTATCTACTATTATAGTTTACTGAATTCAGAATACCCGGTATAACTGAGCAATACAGCCCATCAGTTTATAAAATAACAAATAGCAACATATATCACAAGTGCAATGACTCTCAATGAGTCTAAATTGGTGACTAAAACCCCTGGATATGTATTTTCGCAATTCACAACTAAAATGGACGATCTTCTCCCATTCTAAAGATACACATGCAATGTGAAAGTGAACTTGATGCGACCTTTCAACACCCAATAGCAGTGTACATAACATATGCATGTTTTTATAATGTGTGATTTTGATTTGTCATTTAAACATCCATTATTATTGTAATAAAATAACTTCATAATTAGATCCTTACTTCACGAGATCGGAGGATAAGTGGAATATACCCTTAATTTCTTATGTAAATTTCAGCAATTTCTAGTTTGAAAATGTACATTGAAAGTCATATAGTCACCCTACTTCGTCGGACAAAGTGAACATGATAACATTCAAGGTTTGGGGGGGGGGGGGGGGGGTGTCTCCCCTTTCGTTTTCATGAATGTAAATTATTTTTTTTTCGCTTCAAAATGTTCATTGCAATTCTGGTTGCCTTAACTCTAACCATTTGAAAGAATAGAGTAAAAGGAAAGTTCCCTTTCTTCAATAAAGTTTTAGAAGGGTTCATCAAAGATACTTCTATGGTAACTTTTATGGTAACTTGTCATTTTTGTCTCTTATATTGCTCCATTTACCCTTTCCACGACGTCTGACATTTGCTAGAATTTGCACCAAAAAGATTTTAAATGCAAAAAATTAATACTTGTTACGCGTATATAAACTCCAATTCTTTCACTGTGTTTGGCTAAGACTAAAGGAAATGTAAACATTGTCAAAAAAACTTGAAATATCTGCTTTTTCAGTATGTATCAATTTAATCGTTAAATTCTTTTTTAAAACAATTATTGCTTTTTTTTTGCTGTCAATATGACGATATTCGACCATCGAAAAACAGTTTTTACTTCGCTCTTTGGGCTCGATAAATCTTCTACTCCTCAAGATTCTGAATCATTGTATTCACTTTAAAAACAGCAATAATTGTATAAATGTAATGAGATCAACACGTACATCATTAATTTATTCCTAATTTAGCCCAGGTGAGCATTTTGACCAACAGTTCTCTTAATTTCAGCTTAAATCTACAATGGGTCATTATTCTACGGGGTTCATTTTCCTTCATTTAGGCTTAATGCAGATTTTTAGGGGTGAGACTTTTTCTACGGGCAAAAGGGTCTTTTTTTGACGTCAAATAATGACCTGGGATCAGGTGTTACGGAGGAGTGAGCATCCCATGCTCACCAGTCACACCTACCGTGTGCTCCTTGTCATGAATGGGAAATCACAAGAAAATCCGTCGACAATTCAGTTTGTAAATCATGATTAAATATTTGTAAGAAAAGTGTTTATTTAGTTTATTGAACTAAAAATGAAAGATCTGAAATTCATTTTGAGATTAAACATGGCATTCCTTGCAATTTGGATGTTAATGACTTATGTTCATAATAATGCTCTTTTCCGCGTTAAACTTTACAACTTCTCTAAAAATGTTGAGAAAATTTCATGTACATGTAATGTATATACGTATTTGCATCAGATTTGCTAAGAAAAGATGCTATTCTCCCTTGCAAGATAATAATATGTGAAGAAAAACAGTAAAACCGCTCAAAGTCCAATCAATTCACAAAAAATTAATTGCAAGCAGAGCAAGCATTAACCTCTATAATATATATTGTGCAATGATTTTTGACTAATCAATCCCTGACTGTCTGAATGTGTGCACTGCGAGAAGTTTAAAATTGCAATACAAAACTTATTGTCATGTTTAAGAAAAAACAATCGATCTTTAACAGGTTTAACTTTAATGCATTCTCTATTTCTTTGTCAGCATTTGTTTAGCAATCATTTACAGGTATGTATAGGAATGTTTAAATGAATTGACGTCAAGTAATACTAAACTTCTATTATGTTTCACGAATACTAGATATCAGACTTCATATGAACCACATAAGAAGACGGTGCATAGTACCAATTGATTGATTTAAAAAATATTTTAACTTAAACAAAAATCACATTGGAATTATTTTTCAAAGTTTATTCTCTCGCACCCTAATTCCGAAGCTGCCGGAAAAGGAAGTAAAACAGGTACAAATATATACTTGTGAATCCTATATATAGGATATTTCCCTGCAACTACTTTTGTGCTATTTTCTGTTAAATTTCAGGTACTCGCGACATGGAACAGCACATATCATTGACGCTGTTTGGGGGACTTTGTTCTGTAATTGGGACTTCTGAAGTTATTGCCATGAGGAGAGATGTGGCAGACGTAATAGAGGCGGTAGAACAAAGAGTCAGATCAAGTGATGAGAGTATGAGTAGCATGGAGAGTGGAAGTCAAAGAGAAGGATTCCGGCTCATCGGATCAGATTTAGACTCAATGAAATGGTTCAACGATCATAGAGTGATTTGGGAATTTTCTCAGATACAATCATACAATCCATCCAGAACAGGGATTATTTTTGCTGATTGCTCCAAAAGTTTACCAGGATACGCTTTACTTCAGTTTATTACTTTTATAAACAATAAGGATACTATAGAAGCACTTGTCGTTAGAAATGGAGAGTATTATATATCTAGCTCCAAATTCAGGCAGATGGCATTGAAGTTTTTTTCTCTTATTAAATACAGTGCCACATTACATGGGCCCTGTGCCAATTGTTTTATTGGGCCACTAAAATATGACCAAGCTTTCTGTTTCGTCTCTGATTTTTGGCCCCCATCTGCGTCCTCATGGATAAAAAGATGCAGTACTTGGCCAAGGCCTGAAGTTGTCCATGACATAGTCAAACATGGATGCCATTTTGTGGCAATAGGTCACAAAATGGGAAATCATGAAGACTTTGAATGGAGAATATCTTTCTCTCTCGCTGAGCAAAAACTGGTGTACTCAATGAATCACTGTCAATTCCTTACTTACGGATTGTTAAAGTTATTTCTAAAGGAAGTGATAAACAAAGGACTAACTGATAATGATAAACAACTCTGTTCATATCATATGAAAACAGCCGTATTCTGGGTAATTCAACAAAACACAGTATCTTGCTGGTGTCCACAAAATATATTGGAGAATTTTGATGTCTGTTTCAAACATATTCTGAAATGGGTTTACAACGGTGTCTGTCCAAACTTTTTCATTCCAGAAAACAACATGTTCCTCAATAAAATAAATGGTCGAGTGCAGGAAATGCTATTCCGAAGGTTGTCTGAATTGTATGACAGAAGACGACAGGCTATCGTACAAATCCCTCTGATCAGCTGGTACTTTACGCATGTGATTCGCAATAATCCCATACTCTTGTTTTCCACAAACGAAAACTTCTTCGTCTCTGAGACTAATTTTGATGAGGAGCTATATTTTGAGATATTTAATAAGGCTGCATCCGATGCATCCGACATAATAACATCAATTAAGTACCTTAACACAATAAATCAACTGATAAATTTACCACTATCCCAGTATCATGTTGCTGCGTTACAGAAATTTAGTGCCTCCATATTTTTGAAATTGGCATTTTTATTTCAGTCCAATAACAAAGGCACCAACAAATTTTCGTACAGCGTGGATAAATTTGCCTGTTACATGATGAAATTAGCAGCAAAATTTGGTTTTTTGTCTGATAAGCTTTTAGTTGTAGCGTATTACTACAAAACATCAAGAATATTGGAAGCTCTGTCTGTTTTAGAGAAGATAAGGGTAAAGTTTGCAAAGCAGTCGCTAATGTATAATAGATCTGTAGATGAAGATCTGTATATTGCTGCTGTAGGAGGAAAATCATGGTCTACAAAGACTAGAGAGAGCGTTGCAAGGGATGTCAGACTTTTCAATGGAATTAACTATTTAAATGAGCTTATACCAGAACAACAGTTTAGTTTACGGAACAAAAAACTTACTTTACTTATTCCACCATTTGTATTGTTTCACATGCTAGAAATCTTTTGCTACAGACTGGTTTACCCCAAAAAGGCCAACAACGCTTTAAGTACATTAAAGAATCTGATCTGCGAGAATAAGAACTTTAAGGTACCATATGCAATTCTGGACATATCCTACCAGATCCTGGGAATTTGTCAGCAAGTCACAGGGAATCTTGAAGATGCTTTTTACTCATATCGAGAATCTCTAAGGCAACATCAGTTCAACAGATTGAAAACTGCAACACTATTTAGAATGTGTACTATATTATATAGACTCATCCACGAAAGAAGAATGAGTTGAATTTACTCATTTTCAGGATTTTTTTTTTGTATTGAGAATAGTTGACAAAGAATCAATTTATTGAATATCTGTATTTATGTTTAATGGCTTTTTTGCAGAATGTATAATTTATGTATTGGTCCCTACTGACAAAGCAGATAACAATATTGTCTTTGTTTGTAAGGCTCAATATTTAAATTGTATATATTTTAGAAGAACTGGGATTTCATTCTACTTGTGTTAGACCAACATATACCCAAAGCTCCCTTTCTCAGCAGGAAATTCTTCAATATGATTTATCAGTTTTGAATATTTTTAATATTCCCAACAACAAAACAAATGAATTTTAATTAGCATATCTTTATTAGATACAGAAACTCCATCAAAATCCTTACAAAGATACACCATAGCGGGCTCCAGTAAATGCTCTTCCAACCTCTTTCTAAACTTATTACTGAAATATTAGAATATTTACAATTATAGTAAAGTAGAAACTTCACTTGCACTGTGCAACAATATATTCGAGCAGTGTTGTAAATCATATACGGATACATAAACATCCAAAGGAACTTTTGGAAAATTTGAAATGACAAAATTTTACTAAAATCAAGAACTTAAAAACGTACGACTTTTTAACATTATATTCTGTATAGAATCATTTCCCTTGATGAATTGAACAGGTCGGAGAGAATACTCGAAATCGGGTATTATCCGTGAAATCGCGTATTATTATACTCGATATCAGGGTATCGTTGAATCCGCGAAATCGGGTATAGGAGGTGTAATCACCTAATAAAACTTAAACAATGGGATGGCGCATGTTGCCGAGTTAACTTTCATCTAGATACACATGTTTTCTAAAGGTATCACTAGCGAAGTAAGAATTTGGGCGTCAAGATTAATCCGCCCAGGACAACAAATACCCGTGGAGCTCAGTACATTTCATGATCTGCACACAAAAAGGCGTTCGATTTGCTTTATATATTTTCATAATGTTGAAAGTATATGCGTCTTCCTCATGTTCATTCCCAACACAACAGAATTGTAAAGTATCAGAATTCGGGAATTTATAATAATTCCACATCAACACGACAATTTGAACACGACAATGAACAATTTGTAAATAAATCAAATTATACGGAAACACATTTCACACACAAGATATGATGCCATGTATAAACAAGAGATTGTCTATCGTATCTAATTATGCGTCATTAATTACTTTCACATTCATCTTGTGCATAAAATCAAATTTATTTATGAATGTATAAATATAGTAATGATGAAAATGTTTTAAAATTTCGGCTAAAAAAGCCCTCTTTCTCTTTTTTTTGGAAAATCTTTTTTTTATCATTCATACATATTTGCAGAATATGTTTTCAACATTTTAGCAGAGACAGTGATAGTTTCAGGAATACAGCTTATGAGAGAACATAACTGTTGATCGTTTAATTTCGCTAAGTCATCAATACTTTACCATTTCTTGGCGACTTCAAAGGGGGGGGGGGCTAAAGGCTTCTTGACCACCTCTGACAAAACAACCTCGACTGTGTACTACATATGTCCAAGAGACCTCTCTTTGAATGTCAAGGTCGGTTAAACTTGGTTATATATTTTTAAATGTAGGGAAGATTTATTCATCAAATAAAAATCATATTGGTAAACAAAAAGCAACATGTTATTTTCTAACACAATATGAGACGAAATGAAACTAGAATTCATGTTTATTTTTTAACACATTTTTTCATTATAGAGGAGTTATGGAAACGTTATTGCCATGAGTAATAAGTATCATAGATAAAATAACTAAAAGAAAACTGTGACATATTGTCTAGAACCAGTCAGACAGTGCATTGTATTAGCATATTATAATGAGGTATAAGATAGCGATATAAAAAAAATATAGAAGGTAAAGAGGTAAAATTTACCCTGTCTAGTAGTATAGAATAATAAAGAAAGAAAGTGGCTACAATTTTTATGAAATTTTAATGTCCGATGAGGAATTATATTCCAAAAAGTAAGACATTCAAGAGTTTCCAAGGCAATTGAACACTCCATTATTTCAGTTTGTTCATTATCATGTTCATAAACGTAAAAACTATAAGAAATGTGAAAACTTGACTATGTAATTCATATTTCAACATGACTGTACCTCGATCTATATTGAGAAATTCAATGTATTTTAAGCTCATGAAAAGATGTACACATTTGACTTTTATTTATACCCCCCCTCAAAAAAAAAAAAGAAAATCCTGTTTATATGACTTCTCGCTCTCAATTTTCACACAACTGCATAAAATAAAGGTAAAATAGCATATCTTGTATCGATTAAAATGCAACCAAAAAATTTACGGTTTCTTTGAATAAAAATTTCCATGCTAAATTGACATAAAAAAGATACTCACCTTCAATTAGCTACTTTCAACCTGTTTTCCCGTGGGTATTTATTTAATCTTATTTTATTTTCTTCTTTATAATAACGTTGGTATTCTATTATGGCAGAGATATACAATTATGACTCGCTTATACTGTACTCTCTAACTGTTAGGAATAATTTTTCAGTAAAAATACATAACACGGCGTTAGTTTCACATTTTGTGAATAGTGCACAAATTAGAAAATTAAGTATATGGAATACTTTAATGGGAAATAAAGACAAACGAAGTGTAGTTATTTGTTTTTAGAAATCATATTGAAAAATAATAACGCCATTTTGTCCTCTTTGTTACCCCAGCAGTGTTTGTCGTGTGATCTTAAACTTATTTGACAACCATATGAATTAGGGTTAATAAAAATAAATCCACAAGATACTGATGCACAAGTAACAGTAAATGGCATAATGCGCCGTTGCTTTATTCTTTTGTTTTTATAGAAAGTTGCACGGAATACGCGATTTCGCGGATTCAACGATACCCTAATATCAAGTATTATACGCGATTTCACGGATAATACCCGATTTCGAGTATTCTCTCCGACCTGTTGAAGGTAGACTTTTTGACATCATTGATAGCTGCTTTTTCAATAAAAATGGAAATTTACTTAACTTGTTATCTGCATTTACAGAATCATTAGTCCCCTACAGTGAAACCAGAGAGGGACTTTAGGTTTCCTCTGAGTCTGTCAGTCCGTCTGTCTGTCCTTCCGTCTGTCTGTCAATTTTTATAACTTGGTTTTCCGCACTTTTTTTCTAAACGCTTTCAGATATTGAGCTGATGTTTGGTATATAAATATGACTTGATGAGTTACAAGTCAAGTTTGAATTTCATTTTGAGTCATTGATTTTTTACGGAACTATGGGATTTAAAATTTTTTATGCACTAAATTAATATTACATGTAATATACGAGCTTCTATTCTTAAAAGAAAAGGGGAACCCAGTAGGGGAAATGCATTGCTAATGCAATACTCTCAGAAAGCTTGTCTTGTTAGAACACTTTTAGGGGAAACTCTGATCATGTAACAAGGTCAATGAAAGGTATTTTCCCTTTTTATCTCATTTCTTTTACAAATTCATACTGATTGCTAGGTCATTTTTTTTTTTTTACACTAAGTTATCGGAGTCCCCCCCCAGAATATGACAAGGAGTTCACGGCAGGAGTGACCTTTTGGTAGTTGTTGCTCACTCCTCTATGGCACCTGATCCCATCCCTGATGTTTTGACTCCTTACTACTGATACTACAGATATGGAGAGGTCACCATTGCAAAGGGCTGCAAATTTAGGCCTATGCTCGGCACTTACGGCCTTTGTGCAGGGAGGGATCTTTATCGTGTCACACCTGCTGTGACACGGGGCCTCGGTTTATATTTTGAGCTCGAATACTGTTCGTTATCTCCACATATTTCACCTCAGAGATACATTGTACCAACATTTTTGCATTTGGATAGAGAAAATGTCAAAATATTACAGTAACTGCAATTTGTTAAACATATCCTTTTCAAATAACGATATTTTCCGTTAGAAGATTAAGTTCACTTTTCAGGATTTTTTACGAGTTAATAGCCATTCTCTGTAACCACTTAAACTTCGTTGCCACGCATGGTCACCGATTTTGATGAAACTTCACCCATGCTTAGTACTTGACACCAGAAACAAATATCAAACAAAATTTCGTTGCTATGTGTCTTGGTTGCTATGGCAACAGCCAGAAAAGTTTGAAAAATCGAGATTTTCAGCCACTTTAAATCTTGACCGTGGCTTAATAAAAACTAGAAAAAGCATACAAACCATTCTCACAAAAACATGACACCTTGATGTCACTTATACTGTAAAGAAACTGTTTAGAATATATCTCTAAGTAAGTGGTAACCAAGGGTACATTTGGTATACATTTAAAATGCTGAAATATGCTGCAAAACACTCCGTATTCACTAATGGTAGGTGTTACATGCTCAAACTCAATCAACGACTTAAGAAAAACAATGAAAATGTTTGACCTTAAGTATATAAGTATGAGCAATATTATTCTATAAATAACTTTTATGGTTGCCATGGTAACACAGTGTAACCATGCAAAACCAGTAACTAAGATTGGGTTAATGTTACTGTCTTGAGGAAAAACATGAAAATTCAAGATTGGCAAATTTGCATCCTTAGGACCTTGCAATACCAAAACCATAAGAAAAATTGGGTATAAATGCTACTTTGCAGTGTTACCATGGAAACAAAGTACCAGTGCTTAAAAGTGAATTATTTTTCGCTGCATTAAGAATTAAATTGCCATTTAATCAAGAAACAAATTAAAGGACTCAGCTTGAAAAGTACTTATCTGATAGAACTGAAGTTGAATATTATATATTGATAAAATTTGATGAATAAAACAACACTGTTGTTATGGTTACCAAGAAGGGAAAATGTTCGATTTCGTGAACTTTATATCAATATTAAACCCTGTGTGCCAACTTCTTGCATCCACTTAGAGATTGGATGACAGTCAAAATTAAAAGTCAAGTTGGCTGTTTATAAATATCAATCATAAAAGTTTTGGGAATCTACATTTAAGGGTACGTATCCAAGGAAAGAA